CCCCAGATATATACCATAAAATAACTTTCCAAGCAACAGAAACACGTTAATCTTTACGATGTTCGTGCAACTTTGTCAATTATTGATAAAACGATTCATGTTGTGGAGTCCACAATCAAGTGGTTTAACATAAAGCCAACCAACTGCTGAGAAAAATAATATGACAAAAAACGGCTTTTCTTTTATGGCTAAGAAAACATGATGAAGAAAGGAAGGAATAAACAAAGGAAGAAGGTAAATATTATAAATACCTACGTCATTCGACTCATACATAAATGGAAATCTATGCAGTTGCCATAAAACCGCAACCAGCCGTTTGAAGTCATACAACAAAGCGGAGAGACGCTTTTTATTAAAGCCAAGAAGCTTAAAGGTCTTAATTCACCTTATCATCAAGTTCAAGATGCCAGAAATTGAGGCGATGATCTTTTTCTTGATCTCTTTTCTCTTTCTAAACTCGTTTGTCTTGGCCACCATAAGAGAAGAAAGCCTCAGATTAGCCCAGTTTCGCCCCCAGAAAGGTAAGGATCTCGAGTTAACAGCTAAGCCTAAATTTCAACAATGCTGAACTTAATTAACTACGACTTTTGTTAAATGAGCTAATATTTCATTAGATTTCAAAAGATTTCGTTAGTTTTCTGAACATTTAACATTTTCTTTTAGGACCTTTTTGTTTTAAGTAAATGCCTTTTATTTTACGTTCACTGCTTCACGTCTCGTAGTAATTAATTTAAGAAAATATACTTTTTCATACCAATTTTGAATATATTTCTATGCGTTACTGTCTACGGTCCAGTATGATTTAGCAGTATAASACCTATAGTCTCCTACGCAGCCGCTATGAGTTTCGTCACGCAACGCTTACTCCCCTAAGTAGCGGGTGCTTACCCGAGCACAACATTCCATTCCCTTTGTCTGTGGTTAACCAATCAGGGATCGGTGTGACATTGATTTACCGCTTCATTCGAAGCAGGAGAATAATCAACATTCCCCAAAAACTAACTGAAAGTGAGAATAAATGTTATCTCTGTTCTCAATTTTGTATGAAGAATAACAAGGTCTTTTTTTTTTTTTTCGTTTTTGACAAAAGTTCTGAGATATTTCAAKTCTTATCGCATCTGCGATTGACGTGGATTTGAATAATTAGTCGTAAAGTTTGTTCGTTTGTACTCGCGATCAGCTCTAGAGTAGCAGCAGAATCTCATCAGTTAAAAGAAATTTTCTACAGTTCTACAGTTAAGATAAATGTTATTATTATRTACCAAGTGTCAAAGTTTAATTTTCCTCAATTTCTATTGGTCGAGAGTGTGTCACGCGAACGTGAAGAAATTCGACTGTTTCCTGGCGACCATTCTGGGAAGGGAATATTATGTTATGGACCGGGAATAACAAAACCGGAAGTCACGTGATTGAAAAAATATAAAAACCGGAATCCAGAAAGAAACACATTTGAGCGCGCGTTTGTAAAATTCATTCACAAGTTTTCTTTCACRAAACATCAGATTAAACATGGAATCTTCGCGATTTTCTTGTTCTCTTTGACACTTGGTATGATAATAAAGCACTTATTTACTGGGACCTCGGGAAAGCAGTATATTTTGTGGTCTCGAGACYGCTAATGTTTCCCGAGGTCSCAGTAAATAAGTGTTAAATAATAGWAGCTTGTTATGAGATTGATCAGGATTGACACAACAACAAGTATCATGTTCTTGTTCATTCGTAAGGTCATCAACACGGACGGTTAAAGCTTGAAATACGAKAGATTCTCCGAAGCCTGTCGGCAGATTTATAAACACATCTTTTTTCTCTTCTACTATGAAACATATAGCTACMCTCTGATAATCGTTGAAAACCGTTATTTGACATTTTGTGCTCAYTTTCTCCAACACTCTCTCGAAGTGYGCCATTTTTAGTTCTCGATTTTGGGACTAGAGCTGTGATTAGTTAATTTGAAGGGAATGGAATGTTGTGCTCGGGTAAGCAGCCGCTACTTAGGGGAGTAAGCGTTGCGTGACGAAACTAATAGCGGCTGCGTAGGAGACTATATRAGACCGGAKGGTCCTGTGATTGATCAAACCTGTTGTAGACGCTCTACGATTGGAACAAGCCCTATTTTGTGCTTTTTAATCTTATGATGTCCTGTTATTCTTTTAAGGGAAAGTGCTAACTGGTCACRTGATATCAAGCCATCACGTGGTATCGCCAGTTAATTGTAGTTTTCTATGTACAAGCAATGCCCAGTGTTTGTCGTACAACTACAAACCAAAAGGGGCTGRTGACAAGGATGTCTGTGAGCTGAACAACGCTACCAGAAAATCCAACGCAGGATCTTATCAGGACGATGCTCTGTACATCCACTACTACGATGCACAAACAGAGGTGAATTTCATTTATTTTTAAAAAAACTCGACTGATTATGAGTACAAGATTTGACGATCTAGCTGTCGCCGGGGTTCTGTGAAGGATAAGAATTAATTTGACCATTATTCAAAATGAAATTCGTAAAGCTTTCGTCTCGTCTACTGTACAATATACATTTTTATTACAATAGGCGGACCACACTTCTTGCATGGTTTCTGTTGCCTTTTCTTTTTGTTTCTTTGTAAAGCTTAATGTCGTTAATAGTTTTATGTTTTAAACGTAATATGCTTCGTAGTTTTGTCTTGCACGTTTTTCGCCGGTTTGCTTCAAATTCTGTTGCATGAGTATCTGTAAACCATATGTTTCGAGTACTCTTGCCTTGAAGTATTATTTCGTATCATTGTTTTACTTTCTTTCACCCTCGTCGGGCTTAGATTTTTCTGCAATTGTTTTTAKTTCAACTGTATCGCCCTTCTAGTTYTACGCACAGTGTGAGTGTCTTTCWTTAGGGTTTCCAAGCTGACGAGAAAACATTTGAAARCACAAGGTCGTAGGCAGAGTGCTTTTATTGTTTTCGGGTGTTTGGAAACCCCAATGAAACAAGAAGCACGAGTTATTGGAACTACTTCTCTAAAGATGCAGAAATTCAAAATGGTCTTGTTTAGTTCTTCACAATTTTCTCTCGGTTTGTGTTGCCTCTGTTTTGTTGCCTCTGTTTCTCGCCTTTGTACTACTGCATCAACAAAAAATCGCATTTTCAAGTCAACCACGTTTATAAGAAATAAACCGTTTTATAGTCAGGAGGCAGGGGGCGTCTCTATTCTTTCCGGCCTTGCAKTTCAGGAAAATATTGTTTCCATACGTGGCGTCATGTAGAAACCTATRGATTGCTTCGCGACTCTTGTTCTTGTTCATAATATATGAATTTAGCTAGGCACTGCCTTAAAAGTGGAGCTCCCAACAGGCACAGGGAGCCCGATTTAGATATAAAACTGAAAGATGAAAATAAAATCGTGCAAAAACTCTTCATTATTTCTCCTTCGAGATGAAAATAATGTCCTCCATAATAAAAACCATGAAGTGAAGTGAAAAATGAATTAGAAATGCAATACGTTTTCTAAGTAGTCTTCCACTCAGGAATTTTGTCACATGTACACAACCCACCACCAGCCACCCCAGGGGCTAGTTTTGTTCTTAATCGACAAAGTTTTTCATCAAAATACTAAATGTTTTTCATTAAAATACTAATTTCGGAGATTTAATAGCTTTTTATGAACAAATCAACACTGGCATAAGACAGACTTGAAAACTTCTTTTACATGACACCGCTGAGCATATTGACCGTGGAGCATATTGACCGTGGAGCATATTGACCGTGGAGCATATTGACCGTGGAGCATATTGACCGTGGAGCATATTGACCGTGGAGCATATTGACCGCAGAGCATATTGACCGTGGAGCATATTGAAAAGTGGGAGGCCTGGCATTTGAAAATTTAAAAGACTCTCAATCAAATTTCGGGGGAAAACGTTTTTTATTTACATTCGTCATATTTGAAGTGGGGAGGGGGGAGGGGGTGTTGCTAAAAAACACACCGGAATTCTTGAAGAATACTTCTTGATCCATCTTTGACTACATGAAAGTTTTTTTACCTGTTGCTGGTCTATAATTTGTCCCAAAGTCATGTTTTCTTTGCATTTCAAAGTATATAGTTTTGCTTTGAAATCAAGTGGAATCCCTGTACTGTGTACACGGCAGACTTACGGACGGGCGGACGGGCGGACGGGCGGACGGGCGGACGGGCGGACCAAGACATTGCCCCAGAATAGTTGAAAATATGATTTTGTAAACGTTTCAGTGGTAATAAACGTATTCTTTCTTGATTATTGACATATTGTGAGGTACTTAATTTTCACGTCATGTTATGTTCACGACACTTAGTTTTCGAGTCACTTTAATTTCGCGATTTTTTTCAAATCGCGAAATTCGCGAAATTAAGGTGTCGCGAAAATTTCATGTAATAAGGTAAAACGCTATAACATTTTCAAAAAAGGGACCAAAAGAAGGCGAAGTTCGGCTAGATTGAAACCCTTTTACTTTCAARCCAGCTCATGCGTTCCTATCAAGGTTCAAATTCGTGTTGTTTTATTTTTCGGCGCTTTTTTGCAAAGTTTCAGTGGGGTCCACTAGAGGGCCAAATTTGTGATCTTGACTACTTCTCATTCATGAAATTTGGGAGATGTTTAAAAATTCGTAAATCCATAACAA